CGTCTTGACGACCTGATGGCATCTGACAGTTGATTGGCCTATGCCCACTCTAATTACCCTCCTTTCGGTTGCTGCTTCTCACCCCTGAAGATGGACTCCTGTAAGACTTCGAAAGCTCAGGACAATAAACCAATTGATCCGGTGCTCGACACGTCTTCTTCCTTGTTCACGCAAATACCTGGAACGCGAACGTTTTCATTCACTCGAAAATAGCTACTCAATTTCTTCGGTAAGCTATACGTTTTAATTTTTAAGTGTCGGCTTGGTGATAACACGCAAGCGTTATCTGCTAAAATGCATATATGCACGCATGACCTAAGAACCATGCTCTGTCGGTCAACAGAAGTTTGTCTACACAAAAGTTTTTAACGATAATTAAAATGAAGTACAATCACAGAGCCGGTTCGGTCGAACCCAAAAAGATGTCAATATGAGGAATGAAAGCCGAGAAGACGGAAAGTTAGTATCTTTCTGCAATGGTTGCCATAATGCCTTTATCAGCAACCTAATAACAGGATGCAACTACATAATGTGTTAAAAGGGTGCCACATGAGGCCTAGAAGAGAACTGTTTACTGCACATCGTGACTTGATGATAAGTAAAACCATCTAAAAGATGAGTGTTAATGGCTTTTCATGTGCCAGATTGGGGGAAAAAGTAGACGGAGGCTAAGGACTGCGAACATTTTGATGTTAGATGTATTGGCTACCCTCCCAATTTAGTCACGCCGTAGGTTGCATAAGATCTGAAAGACTTAAGAAATTAGACCAAGTAGTTAAGTAAGCAACGGACGACTGGACCAATACATAAATTCCAATTCTAACAGATGGTGTATCAAAAACACGCACCGAGGCAAGTTCACTGAAGGTTAGAAAGGGTAGAGCCTTTGGTACAGACCGAACTGTGAACCTTGCGTAGACATCAATTTGTTCCGCATACGTCTCATGTAGGAAACGTGGCACATGCAGCAATAGGAGTATGCTCAGGTGTAGACAGTCGGCGAGTGCGATCGCAGAGAAGTAGAGTGTGGCTCCGGTACGATTAGAGGCCTTGTTAAAGGCCACCACGCAGGCCAAGTTAGATAGAAAGCTGGCCGAGCAGACCACAGTGAAAAAGAGGCCAAAAATGACGTAGAAGAGGTAAGCATAGTCAGGAGGGTCGCAGTTGTAATCGTCGTAACACTTTGGAGAAGCATTCTCGAAGGATGCATTGCTGGACAGCCCAGAAAGCGGCAGCAGCGAGGTTGTGGTACTGGAATGGAAAGGGTAAAAAAGAACGCTGAAAAACAGAACATACTTTCAAGTGCTAGTGGTTGCCATTAATATGTCCTCATCGGAGGTTGAAACACGGACGAGGAAAAATTACGGAAGCTCCACGTTTTTGTGGGATTCAATAATCATAATTGTAGTTGACAGGATAGAAAGCGCATTTCTCAATGATAGGGCGTTCGAAATATCGTTATTTCGGGAAAAAAGGGACTGGATGCGAGTTCGTCTTCTCACGGCTTAGGTCTAGACTGACGGACTGACGTAGATAAACAAGAAGTAAACATTCGCATGGTTTTTTCTATCCATAAAAATTCTCACTCGTTATTTCCCGATGCATCGTCTATGTCATGATGACATTTGTGGACGTAGTGGACGAGGTTGTGCGCCACCTGAGACAGTATAGTAGATGTTTTCAGAGAGTCGTCGTATATTAAACACTAGAAACATTGCAACCAAAGTCCTGGTTAGAAAAAACGGCGGATATAATGTGACCACGCAAAAACCAGATACTAGCTACTGACAGAATAAAGTATGCAGTTAACTAAAACTTGAGTATTGAAAGAAGTCCTGGTACTAATGGCTGCAATCGTAATTTCCAAATGGCATGTTTTTGACGTTATTAAAATAATATACGAAAATTACTGAACACATTTGTGGAAAACACTAACAGTTTCGGAATATCTTTGACCACTTTAAGTCTTCCCACGGCTATTTTGAGACTTTTAGAACAGTTAGAAACTAGGATTGGTAAGGAAGTCTTATACAACTCCCACGCACCCCCAACAGGATACGCGAATGACAGGTCAAGCTTCGACGCTGACGATGTGGACTGCGTCCGCCACAGTAGGGTTGGCGCAGGGACAATGATTTGCGCGCGACTTAGTATATAATTATAGTAGACTTGTGCAGTATCTACCGAACTCTCTGCTCCACTCTTACCTGGGTCTGGTGTCATGGCAGTCTAGAAGACTAGAGGTGAGATCAGGTAGGGATGGCCGGCGCATCGTAAACCTTCACTTAAGCATGCCACCACGCCCTACATATGAGTTATTTGCTGTATGCATATCTGCAATAACGCCTGTC